TTTTTCAAATTTACCACAGAAATGGTACCAAACCATTCAGTAATTACTTTTTGGCAGTTTCAGTGTTTGGCTATTATTCACTGACTGAAAGTTAAGTTTCTTTGCAAAATTCGCATGAATAATTTGCTGTTATTATTTTGATAGATGAATATCGTCAAAAAATTCCACTTTGTTTGGAGATCTTCGGAGTGCTTTATTGGATTAACGAAATACCAGTTGCAGTTCTCTTCACGCATGCGCTCTCAACACTTCAAGACTGCATGTAATTTTGTTGCCAGCGTTCTTCGCCATATTAAGTGCCTTTCAAATCCCAGACAAAATCTTTCAAAGTTTCATTGGCATCTGTAGATGAAAAGGCGTCATTGATCATCTGTCCAAAGTTCTTGGAAACTAATGAGCATCGTGGCATTTGTATCAACATGTCACTAAACATGACCATGCATATGGTTTGTGTTAAGAAGAGAGTCACCATAACCTACTTCTTACAAAATCTATTAACCCAGTAAAACCACATAATTATGTTTTTCAGCACATACACATTATGTATACTTAATGTCTATATGGTCAACGTCGGGCATTAATAAATGGAGGAGGGCGTCGGCCAAACATTGGACCAACATTAAACCATGTTTTATAAATATTAGTGTATTGATCTACCCTTCCAGTTGACGGCCCACGGAAACACGGCTTCACCTCCTATTCCCTTTCCTAAACAAAACAAAATGGCGAAACCAGTCATACTCCTTCATAATTTCTTCCATACTCCCCCTCCCCCCCCCCAAAAAAAAAAAAAAAGAAAGGGGGTGGTGGAAAAACACAATCGGTCTCACATACGTTTTGCTAATTTCCTCAATTTGCACCAGTTTTGTTTTTACACAACCCTTCATCATTGATTCAATATACTTGGGAGGGCATTCGTATTCCAATTGCAAGAAAATGGCGGAGATAGGAGTGGGTTTGTGGGGGGTGGGGGGGGTGGGGAGGAAAGATCTACAGTAAGCACAAGAAGCTAAATTTTTGAAAAGTACTGAAAAATTAGGCATATTGTAAGGTATTTTCAAATGTAGCATGCCGCCATTTTTGAAAGCGAGTTTGCTACCACGAGCGGCTGATTAATCACGCAAGTTAACCAAGCGCTGGTTATCCAGAAAAATGCGGTTGACAAGACTAATCACTGGTATTAGATCATGTACACGCTATTTTTTTTTTTTTTTTTTTTTTGAAGGGGGTTAGTTTTTCCCTTTAAGCACCTGGTTACGCTACTAGATTATGTATATCCCGTCGACAAATTACGATCTATAAACATGTTTTTGAGTCACAAGTTTACGAAACCTATCATGCATCTTTATGAAAACAAAATGTTGCAATGTGCATGTACGAGTTAGTGAAAAGTGAAGTAACACGTTGTTCTACATGAGACTTAAACTAGAATTCTCAGAAATACTTTTCCTTTTTTCTTCTAACCATATCTTTGTAAGAGAACGCTAGATAATTTAATGAGATATTCGGCAATATATTGTTATAAAACACAGGAATGAATGTTCGTACCAACGATTTTAATTTAAGAATGACACTTCACCAGTTCTCTCCCTGGTTAACAACAGGATGTTCAAGTATGTTTAAAGACAGAATCTAGTTATATAAGTCAGAGAAGAATTTCATCAGCTGTGTTAAGTTATAAGAATGATGTGATTTTTTTCTCCAGTCAACAGCTAATATTGAGATTGAGTTTTAACCTCCAATATTTCGATGTCTATCAGGACATTTTCTTCAGGGAAATATTGGAGGTAAAAACTATCTCAATATTAGCTGCTGACTGAAGAAAAAATCACATCATTCTTAGAATCTAGTTATGTTGTCACTATAAAAGTGTACTCCACCAATTCCACTATTTCCTCTTGCCGCGCACACAAACACACACTCGCGCGCGCGCGCAAGTTGGTCTTGCCTTACCAAAAATTTGAAACATGTTGAAACAGATTGTCATTTAGATTTAGAAATCAAGCATTGCCCATTGTTTTGTTTTATCTAATTATCACTTTACACTATATTCAAATCCATTAACAACTTACGATCTATAAATATTTTTAGTCATAAGATTCACCGATTTAGGCTCTTGATGAAAACAAACTGGCGTGACATACACGTATATAAAAAGTGAAACACGGTGTGTCACATGAGACCTTACATGTGACTGCAATTCTTAGAATAAATGAGACACCTTGCCACTTCCATTTTTTTATGCGCCAGGTTCTTGTTGGAGATCGTTAGATCCTTTGATGTGGTAATCTACAAAGCTACACGGGAATGTTTGTGCCAATGGAAAGACATCGCTTGATTTGGCCATCGTTATGTCGCCCATAGATATGCTTTATGCGATCACTCATTTATGCCATATCCAAACCCGTTGACAAATTGACGACCTATAATCATTTTAAATCAGATTAACAGATCTGTACATCTTACTTTTAAAAAGCCACATACATGTATATTAAAAGTGTAACAAGTTGTGTCACACGAGACCTTACGTGTGACTGCTTTTCTTAGAATCAGTGAGACACTTCGCCACTTTTTTCTATGCACCAGGTTCTTGTCATAGATTGTTAGATCCTATGGTACGAAATAATCTACAAAATAACACGGACATGTTCGTGCCAGCGGAAAGACATTGGCTGATTTGTTTTTAAAAATAACAGTCCATCCAATTCCTCTTTTGGTTAGTAATAGGATGTTATGGTATGTTTTACGGCAGAATATACTAGGGATAATTTCTTCACTACAGAGGTTTACTACGTGAATGCTAGTATTCCGTCGAGCTGCACACACAATCAAATACGCACATAGAGGTTATACTTATAGTCAAACGTATTTGTAGGTCAAAAATATCAATGAATACGAATCACAACGATGTCATATAATATTGCGCCGTAATTACTTCAATCATAGGGTAATTTCCCACATCTCGATCGCATTATCTCGCATATTTCTAGTCTTGTGTGGCGCCACACACGGCTTTATTGCCTGCCCTCTACCAGGCTCGTGACCACAGATTGATTTTTCACTAAATATTAACAGAAATGTCTCTGGCTAATTCATGGTACATATATCCAATGTGGCGCGTTGGAGAAAAGTTCCCATAATTAATCTGTAGCCTCGGTGCCGGCTAACAAGGATATCCCCTATTACTTTCTGAGGCGGAACAAATTCCCCGATTCATGTCGTTCAAAGGTGTGTCAGTTCTTTGTTGTAATGTATGAATCCCAGGATAGTGGTTCAAAAGAAAGAATTATAGAAAAGTCAGCCAGAAAGACGGCTGGAACGTGTAAATTTTATTCTCAACCTGAGGATTTGCATAACAATGTTTTTTTTTTGGTCTGCTGTTTTCAGGTGAAAAAATAAAGAATCTAGAAAGATTAATCAAAGAAGCATAGGAATTAAGGAGTTACCAGATTTACCAATGATAGCATATTTATTTAAATTGTATTGTACATAACAATACAATTTAAATATTACAACAAAGAATTGACACACCATTGCTGCCTGAAACGTTCACAGCTATTATGAAATTAACTATCACTGTCACATGAACCAAATATCAGCAGCATCATTTACCTAAATTCGCCATTTTTGAAAATAAAAGACACATTAGTCAAATGCAGTGGGATCATTTATTCCAATACAATTTGGTATAATTTGTATAAAAAGTGGTTAAACATATAACTATTTTCAATCGTTTTAAAAATGGGTATCACAGTTGTATGGCATATTATGCACACGTTTTTGTAATGATAATAATAATAATTCTTGGCAACAATCCAAAATCTCTGACTTCCGTGTGATAAACTAAAGCTTGTTCTGTTCACACTTAGAATATTTCAAGTCAAAAATCGGTCTCAATTGCCCGATTAGACGCCCAGATTTCAAAGGGATTCCTATTTACCTCAGCAATTTTGGCCTTCTAATGTTCATTCGATAGCCTTGGTGGACCCAAGGACAGCTTCACAAAGTGAGTTCAATCAAAAATCGTTCTACGTTCAGACTGCTAAATACTGCTCTCAGACGACCAGGTTGCGTTTCACAAAGCATCAAGAAGGCTGCGCGCCCACTTATTTTTGTCTCTGAATGACTTTATTTCTCTCACTGATGACTATTGCTCATTTAGGTACGTATACTTCATTTATCGTGGTTTAAGTTTTTTCTGTTTTCTCATCCAGAAGCTTATGTCTAGTAGTCGGCTGTCTGACATCAGCAAGTTTAACTACGACCAAAAACTTTGTGAAACATTTTCTCATTTTGTGAAATAAAACGCCTGTCTTTAGTTAATACCTGTATCCGCCTTAATTTCGTAACCTGGTGGACATATATTACACACCAAATATTATACTTTTATTATAGAATTCCGCACGAAGTGGCCTTTTTCGCCGCATTTCTCCATTTGGCCTGAATGTTTTTACTCCTCATGTTCTTCTCCAGAATATCTGCCACCTTCAGGTACTCAAATTCAATAGCGATGTCGTATGGCATTTTGCCGTCCTAAAAGGAAAACAGATTTATCTTTACTGATCGACATTTATTGGTTTCTAATGCTAAAATAACACACTCCTAACAGTGGTCTGTTTATTACTATCATTACTCTCAAAGGAGATGGATGTTTGTATTGACATTACGCGTTCCCAAATAACAGGACAAAGTCAACATTTCAATCAGCCGGATATAATGCGTGACGGCTATGGACAACCTCAAATCAATTCAAAATATTTGAAACTTAAAGACTGTCGAGGAGTCAAATACTGCGAAAAGTTGAAAAAAAGAAAGAAAAGGAAGCGATCGTACCAAATTCTTCAAACTGGAATCAGCTCCCAGTTCCAATAGCTTTTCAACAACATCTGGTAGGTCGTTGAAGGCTGCTAGATGCAAGGCTGTGTCCCCCTCCTGAAATAATATATTTCGAGTTACAACTATATCAAATACTATCTAACAACGTAAGGTGCCAGCAAGGATTAAAAGGTGCCAGCAAGGTAGCAAAAGTGCTCCTTTTGTGACGATACATTCACTGATATTCTTAAAGTTTTTTCTTAGCCCTCACTCTCTCTCTCTCTCTCTCTCTCTCTCTCTGTATAATAGTGATATACCTTTCTCTCGTAACGTAAACATTTGTATTGTAATGCATACGACCACACACACACACACACACACACACACACACACACAAAGACAGACATACACACAGACAAAAAGACATGCCTTCTCTGTCTTGCTATTAACGGGGGCGCCATTGTTGACCAGCCACTCTATCCGCCCAGGTCTGTCGTCTGCAAACTCGGGTGAGATAATGGCTTCGAGGATCTGATCAAGGCCGTACTACAAAAATAAAACAAAATACTTTGGAGGGATTTTCATTGGAGTGCTGGATTTCTTAAATGTTCAGTTCTGACACTGCTTCATATTCAAACCTCTTCCAAATAGCTTTATTCTCAATGTTCCAAACACAGGCAAAGGTTTCTGAGACACTTTTACCAGGGCAGACATACATGTACATGTATAACTGTAATCGTAACAAGCCCAAGAGAAATGGTATATTTTTCATTGTTTCTAATGTTAATGTTGATGCTATCTTAAATCGATAACATACATCGATGTTGAATGCAATTCCAATTCCATTTCACTGGGGATTGTCAAATACATTGCGACGGCGGTTCCATCTCAGTTGTTCAAATGTCTTCAATACAAAAAGTGGGAGAAAGGAATTTCTCATGCACACAATAATACTCAATTTGACCTATAGATAAACCTGTAAATTTTTTAACACTTCTACATCACCATCTAAATGGACTTACACTCTCCGCTTCTTCACCAGTACTTTCAGTCGGTTCGTCAACCTCTGTAACCGGCTCCTAGAAAACGATACGCCAGAAATTAATACTAAACATGAATATAATGTGAGTCATACAGTTCTTTAAAAAAACGAATAAAAGATAAAAATGTAACACTTTCAAATATGATATTTTGTTGATAAAATATAGAGAAATGACTGTCCTTTTTTTCGTCCCATCTAATGTTGTTCATTGTCTTTTTATTGGTGTGGTTTATTCTCTGAAGAATGAACAGATGTGCAGCTTTTTCCATCATGACCTTGAAACGGTCCATATAGCTGATTGATTTTAAGAGTCCTGTCTTATATGCTTAATGTACAATAAATAAATAAATAAATAAATAAATAAATAAATAAGACAGATTATGTTTGCTTGAACGCCACATGCAAGAAGCAATTCAGTACAAAACATTAACATCTTAAGTCTTTTGAGACTTAATAAATAACAGTGAATATAAAATCAATTTAAAAGGCACTTACTTTATCTTCCTTTAATTTAAGTCCCTTATTGATAAAACATATTAATCTTTGAGACCTAACCAACTATAAAGAAATGCATTCCGCTTGAGACCAATAAAAGCTTTGGCCATGAACTTTTTCCAGAGGGATCTACTTGAAAGATATTGCCTTTTTTCCTCGGTGAAGAATTAATAGGCATCGGACGGATACACTCAATTTACACCGAAAACAATTTTCTTATAAATATTCCCTTCGGTGGTGGATAAAGTACCTCAGTTTCTGTAAGATGGTTAATTAAATATAAACAGTACCTCAGAGTATAGGATAATTGAATACGATGATGTTTTCTGCTATGTGGCATTCATCAATATACGCGTTTAACATAGCTTCTGGACAAACGGGTGCAGCCAAGGCCAATACTCAATGGCATAATTTTATCATATCAATCACGCAACTCTCTCTCTCTCTCTCTCTCTCTCTCTCTCTCTCTCTCTCTGAAGGTCCGTGCTAACTGATTTTTATTTTTATTCATCGTCTCTAAAACCTGCCAACAGTCTACCTCAATATGTTTTATTTATGAGTAAATCATGTACCTTTTTTTTATTGACAGAAGGGAACAGTTTCACGAGACATCTTACTTTATAGGGTGGTCTGGTTTATGACGAATGCCACACCATACAACACAAAACGTCACAAAATTACGTTACAACATCGTTTGTATCACATTTGATTTTCCTATTATCTTTTGTTAATTGAAAGGCATCGTTAAAGTGACAGAAGGAACATTTATCTTTGTTACCTGCCAATGGGAAAGTCAGAAATAGAAAATTCTCATATTCACCAATCTTTCTACCGCATCCATCCGTAGTAATTCGATAATGTCATCGTATTGCCTTTCTTCAGCCAACATCATGGCGTCTTTGCCGTCCTGAAATGCGAGCAAACTTTACATTATAGGTTCTTTTGTAATTTATCATAACAGATCAAAACCCACCTGAGATTTAGAGTGCATTCCCATAGGTTTAGGGCGTATTTCCAGACATTTAGATCAATCTAGCCCCGTCGGGAGTCTCACTAGATTACTGTGAGATAATCCGGCTTAAATGTCCGTCCCGCCTACTACAAGCTGTAAGGGGGTAATTAACTTTTGTTCCCGCTCGGCTGACAGCTATTTAGCGTGAACCCCCAGGGAGTTAGGTCGATCTAGTTGGATCGATCTAATCTCTGGGAATGGGGACTTAGATATATCCATCTAGATCGACCTTACTCCCTGGGGGTTCCTGGGGGTTCACGCTAAATTGATGTCAGCAGAGCGTGCACGGAAATTAATAACTCCCTTACAGCTTTTAGTAGACTGGCTAAGCTGACAGTAATCTACTGAGACTCCCCACAGGGATAGATCGATCTTAAATCTGTGGGAATGGGGTCTTAGCCAACTACAAAGAAATACATTCCACTTGAGACCTGTATAAAATGAATACCCAATCATTGTAAACTCTAAAAAAAAAAAGCTAATAAAAACAAATGTGAAGATGTGCAATGTTGACACGTTAATTTAAAAATCAGTATTTGAAATATGAATAAGAGTATGAATTGCGGTTTATTTTGTTGTCTAATTTTTTCAACCCTGAACTGAGACGGGAAATAAGCTTGTTTCCTGGGACTATACAACGTCTTTCTTTTATAAATAAAGAATGATATATCATATTTCACATTTACCAGGTCCTGGACCGTCTTGTCGGCTCCCACTGAGAGGAGATACGCTACCAGCTCCTTCATGGCGCCACCCTCCCTAAGGTGTGCCATCTTGATACAGAGATTTAATGCCGAGTCACACTCCTGCAAGTTGAGACACAAAAGGAACACAATGACCTTTGTAAAAATTTTTTCTTTTTTGTAGAAATTTCAACCATTTTTCGTTGATCACCAAAATCTTTTGATTTTTTTTTCATAATATAGTATTATAATAAAGGGTGTGTGGTTTGTAAAGGAACAGGACTGCCAGCGCGAAGAGGTGAAGATTGCTAAATTTCAATCATAACGATAGAAAATAAGAAATTTAGGGGTTGAAAACGATTTTCACCTTTTACTCTATGTGTCTATTTACTTTGCTCAGGCCCAATGGGTGAACAACGGATCCTGATTTTTTTTAATCACGCCTTAAAAACCACAAATTATTGGGAAATGGTATCCAGTGAATTGTTTGTGATGCCAGTCCGATTAATATTCGGAATCATCTCGTATGTACACGATCCCATTGATGGCCATTTCACTCACATAATCCAGGAGGTTGACCTCTGCCCCTGTCTCCACCAACAACTCCAGCATCTTCATTTGGTCCAATTTACAATGGGTAATGACGTAATGTATTGCACCGGCGCCGTGCTGTATTAAATAGATCGATATATTTTACAGATGCGAAATTTTAATATTCAGGTGAAATATATAGTTAGTCTACCCCCCTCCCCACCCCCACCCATCCAATCCCAGGAAAACTTGTTGCTTGTTGGATAGGAGTTAAGTCCGCCATTTTGTTTTTTCCCCACCCATCACCTCAGACCTCATAGATACGATTATGAATTTTATTGATACGACCATGTTCAAATCCTCCATTCCACCGCTCAATTGACAGTTAAATCAACAACAACATATACCTTGTTGATGTAATTCAAATACGTTCCTCCCTGTGCCACGGCTCTTCGTATTTCTTCCTCCGTGCCAGAAATCACGGCTCTTACCAAGCGTTCCTGAAATGCAATATTAATAAAAGGATTGTTCATTTTTTACAACACGAATTTCATTCAACTACAAGTTGTGTCATTTAGCGCTTGATGGGGGGTGGGGGGGGGGGTGGAGCGGGGATGGAAGGACAAATCAAAATTCACCCCGCCCCCACCCCTTTCCCAATACGCAAACTACTCACATGTACTAAATATGGTCGTATTCATGGGCTTATCGAAAATAATTTATCATTGCCGTTTTATGACCACTTACAGTGTGACATGGGTGATATGAAAAAGCAATTAATGAATCGTCAAAAAAGACAAACTTTGGTTCACAACGACGTTTCCTCTATCTCTCTAATGTCTCTTTCGTTATTCGCTAAATTGATCTTTGAGATGATGTTTCCTGTTAGTCAGAGACACCATAGTCAAAGAATATATGAAGCAGTGCATTAGGGACACCCTGGTTCCCAAAGGTTCCTGGAACATTGCACCCATACTATCAGCATGACTCTGCCGTTTCCAGTAAGGGCAGGTGCGTGCTGATAATGCACATGCCGATCCAAGTAGTCTAGGGACCTCTGAAGCTCAGGTCGATAAGCCGCAAAGAAGCAGAAACCCATTTGAAATATGTTCTGTTGGGTGTTTATGATACAGAATTAATTCTGCTTATTGAATATTGTGGTGAAAACCACACGCAAGATGACAGCTACACGTGTGGAAGTTCTTCACAAGGCTTACAATGCGCGTTCGACCTAATGCAACTAAGTTTCTGCGACCCTCCCCCCTTCACCATCAAGATATTTATGCATGTATCATATCCAAAACCTATAAATTCTCAACTTCTAATTTTTACCGGTACGGTCACGAGCGAATTTCACCAGTCTCCATTAATTTACATGTACAGCACGAGATTCACTACAAAAAAAGGAAGCTTAGACCTAAAAAATGAGTTTATTGATCGCAATTCTGTGAATGGTTTTAAGTATACTATACCTTGGTGAATAAGGGAAATGGGATGAATGATATGTCGAGGAAAAAAGGATATTTACTATCAATAGGTATTTCGCTCATCGTGCACATTTAACAGAAAATGAAGGAAGCCTTCATCCTATGCTCAGTTATTTCAAATAAAGTTTGGCTTCATTGGAGCCAATACAGTGGGTATTGAAAGGAAGTGGGTATTGACATCAAGACTTCTCTCCATCGTGTGTCTTTTGTGATATTGCATTTCCATGTTTTATGGGGACGAGGAGGGTGAATAGGGCTGAATTACAGATTGAGGTAATTTAAGTGAAAAAATATTAACATTGTTATTAACACATCATGAGGAACGCTACAACTTCTTTTTATATACATGTATCTACACTAGGATGCAACAGAAGATTATATTTAATCCTATAGCTACATAAGTTAATGCAGCTTAATAAAAAGTCCCATTACAAATTTCAAGCCCAAATAGATAAAACAAAGAAAGAAAAAAAAAACACTCATTTCTAAATCTCACCCCTAATTCATCACGGCGTTTCTGTTCAGTCTTCTCTATGGCTTCTTCGATGGAAACAGTCCCGTCCAACACAGCACAAATATCCACAAGTCCTTTTTCTACGGCTTCGTCGTAGGGGGACCGTAGTTTCTGGAACAAACAGAAGTTAAAACCGGGTAAACACACAATTACACACTAAAGACTCATTATCCATATTAGAGCAATAGCTACTGCTAGCACAAGAGGACTCAAAATATTGTAAGGATGCATAGGGACCCTTCACAACCATAGCGCTCTTAATAGGGCGCCGTGGAAATTAAGGACACCCATGCGCCTCTTTAACAGGTTTTGAAGTTATGTTTAAACTTATCATGAAGATGACAATAAAGTAGTTTTGAAGTTAGTACTATATGTGGTGTACACCCATCATTCGGTTATGGAGATGCTGCTGCTTATAATAATAATAATAATAATAATAATAATAATAATAATAATAGGATTACTATACAACCTATAGCTAGCCGTTTTCAATCGATACCTTGTTTCGTATTTCAGGATCTGCGCCCGAGCTGAGCAGTTTGACAAAGATATCAACCGCTCGATCTTTTGATTTATTTCTCGCCGCTAAATGCAGACAGGTGTCGCCCCCTATAGTCGTTGTTTGATTAACGTCTGCGCCTCTCTCCAGCAGAATGTCTATACAGGTTTCCACGTCAATGCCACTCCCTTGAACAAGATCGTGTAGGGGTGCCAGCCCTGACTGAAAATGAATATTGAATGGAAGATCTCTTAGCTGAATTACATATTTACAGATGAAGCAAAGGACGTTAATTTCAAGTGAAGCTGATATTTTATGCTCACCCCAGGTCCTTTTAATGCAGCATCATAAATGTCATTCTTCTCTTCTGCCATATTACGTACTAAATAAAACACGCCATTGGCAAATTCAGCATTTTGCCAGGAAGGGGGGGGGGGTAATGAACGATACAAAAATTTCCTCAGCAAATGTAAAACATTAGAAGAGAACAGTTTTACATAATATTTTATATATGTAGGCACAGGGATCGAAATATTGCTTCAGTTAGTCTCGTGTCGCTTGTTTCACTATTAATTTTTTTTTTGGGGGGGGGAGGGTATTTTGAAGCTAATTGGACCGCGTATGCACCCACCCATATTATGTATTGCATATCGACAATATATGACTTGAAAAGTCTCTAAGCAACATGGAATATATTTCCGAATTAACAATTGGGGTTGATACTCAAAGTCGAAACAGAAATTAAACATAAGCGTAAAACGTTGAACATTGACTCAGGGTGCGATTACATCACCTTATACATAACGCATACATTCAGTAACAGCCATAAAACTTTGAATAAAAACAGCGGTTAAACGTGTTCAAATCTTGGAAAACGCTCCTCACGTGCACATGTTAGACCGACAAGGATCTAAGTAGTCAACTAAATTACCATAAAATCGCAATTTGCGCCACTCTTTTGAACATAATAAGTCGATTTACAGCAAAATGTGTTAAAGTCCTGAAAACTAACTTGCAGGTTAAAACACTCAATTTTCTTTATATGAGCAATAAATTTACGAATTGTGCTTTATGTCGCCGCGGAATGTCGCGTACCGAAATTCACATACTGCGCAACGCCCTCTCTCCTTTGGACTCGTGCTTGAAATGGTTAATAAAGAATATAATTACATTATATTACGCTTAGCGACGTGACTTTCCGGAAGACGTCTAATCGTGATATATATAAAAAAGTGAAAAGCTTTGTTATTCTGTCATTTTAGGCTAGATACGACATTTCTTCACCCCTGGACGCTTAGCAACAACGAAAAATATAAATAGTGATTGTGTATGATTCATACGAGCTCTGTCTTTACAAATTAATTCAATAGGCAAAAATACATATATAGGCATGTTACAAAACTGAATAACAATTAAAGATATGAATAACTGAATAACAGAAAAACAAAAAATAAACCAAAGTTGAATACCAAAAAATTCAGTATATACATGTATAAATAAATACGTAAAATAGTCGAACAATTAATGAATATGTAAAATTTGTATTTGCCCAAGGTTAAGGTCACTACAGTTAAAATACATATTAGAGTATATCTATATCTCTCCCATAATTAGTCCACATATGCACGGATTTATATCAAGACCGACGCACACTATGACGACTATGCTGAACTATCAGTTACACGAGGTATGAGCTGTTAACTCAGTGAGTGCGTTTTGATTAAGGGTCTCGTCTTTGGTAGACAAAATACACAAGTACGAGACCAAGGAGATAAGCTGCAGGTTTTGGTGGCAGGGATCAGTAGCTGAGCTCATTACTTTCAGTGTGCGGCGGTCTTTTGGTAGCGTACCTCGTTTGGTTCAGTGGGCGATCCACCGTTCTTGAGCACCTCTTGAATACCAAGAGCGTCCGCTTCTCTGCAGCAGGAGAATATCGTTCGCTGAAAGATTGTCAAATAATAATAATAATAAGAAGAAGAAGAAGAAGAAGAATAAAGTTATTTAAGTACATCGCTGTAGCAGTTAAAATATATTGCAAATTATGGCTTGACAATAATATGGATTATATTTCATAGATCTAGTAAGTTTATCGAAGTGACACTGGGATTTTGTTAAAAAGCGCCACAATGCTACTACAGTGGATAGAGTAGACGACGTCAATATAACTGTACATGTGACGTGTAAGTGATGGACGTAAAAATTGTGTAGTTTTGTCTCGTTTCGCTTGTAAAACTGTTTTCTCTTACTGCGCCACAATCCCCCCTCCCCAGATTCACAACTGAAAAGAATCTTTCTGTGGTTTGTCAAAAGTCACTGCAATTAGTAGTTATAACGTTTTGCATTTACTCCCAGTTAATTTTACTAAAATAAGATGGACACAGGCAAGCGCCCACGCTCGCGCGCACACACACACACACACACACACACACACACACAAGAACAAATTTTTGAGGTCATTAGATAAAAGATTTATCAAAGACTCGATATAATTTACCTTCTTTTTACCAGCGAAAGTTGCGCTGCCGTGGTGCTCCAGTTTAGCGTCAAGTCCGCCGAGTTCCCCATCGCCAGGAAACGTCTGCTGATTTTTTGGGAAAAAATTATCAGATAATTGTTATGACTGTCAATAATTCAGCAAAGATTCACAATGTATTCATTCATGCTAGTACAAATGTATATGCAAAATACACTGAATGTACTCGAAACGTTCTTCTATTAAAACGAATTAGTTACTCGAATGGAATTAATAAATGGAAAAAAGGTCAACGTTTTGGGGTAATTACTTATGAAGCTTAAAATTACCTTCTCCGTCCTTATCAGTGCAGTCAATGCCTTTAATCATGTGTGTACATCTTAAACGCTAATGTGTGTACATCTTAAACGTGATAGTTACTTAATTGTCACTTTTATCACCATTCAAATAAAACAGATACATACAGAACTGTATATAGAACTAATAGAGTAGGGCCCTATAACATTTCTCTAATCAAAAGTAAACAGACGATAGGTAAATAGATCAATGGGCCAGATCAATAGAAAAGATCAATAGAAAAGATCAATAGGTCTGATAGAGTACACCGACATAATTCACCCTGGGATTTAGGGGTTACTGGAAAGCAACCATTCCCAAAACGCCCTGGGTTTTAGAGGTTAATGATAAATAACCTCAACTACATGCGTCTGTCGTTTCCATTAGCAGCCGAAGTTTCAGAAGTTCCTGGGAACTAATCTCCACTAACAGTATTTTACCGTTTCCAGTACGTGTAACTTAAGCGAGTCACTCAGCAATAAGGGTTTAAAGCAGGGGTAATGTACCTGGTTTGGTAGTGAAAGATATTGTTTGTGTGTTAGTTTTCAGCACCCCATACTGGGGCTGGGCTTTATCTTCCCTAGGGAGGTGAGAACACGTAAACACCTAGTCAGAATCGGGTCAAAATACTCTAGGAATTATTGTCATCTATTGTAAACCACAAGAGACGCAGTAGAAGGCGGTATACAATAAATATAGACTTTACTTAAGCTCATCCAAGCCCCAAACACACCTTTGCTGTCCCTGAAGTATACTGGAGGAGTTTGGGTTGAACTATCGGGAAACATACTGTTAGTTGAATTCTCAGGCCTGTAGAAAGCAAGTTCAACCCTCCCCCCCCCCCACCTCCACCCCCACAACCACCAAGTGAAAGATCAAGCTGTGGCCCTGGTAGAGGGTACCAGCCCCCCCCCCCCCCCCCCTTTTTGGTCTTCTTCTGAAACATTGGACATTTGTGCCATCTTTGCTGACCAGGCATCAGGAATGGTAAATAACCTAGCTAGATTAAATTTCGATGCAGAGGGGGCCTATTCCGGCCAAAAGGGTGGTTCTTTCGAACAGTCCCCCGACACCCGAACCTCCCCAGCCCCCCTCCTGTTATTCACAGGGTAAAACTTTTCATGTGCCACTCACAGTGATAAAAAAAAAACTGTGTGTTACTTGAAAAGTAGAGCATTATCAACAAAGGTGTCGACAATAATGATGAGTATTTAAAAAAGCACGGGAATAATATTGTGATTGGGCACATCTGACTGGCCTATATATACATGCATACATGTTTAAGGCCGATTCTGTAAGGACCGGTCCAAAGCCAGTAATTTCATAAGGGGTTCTTTTTCTTAAAAGGTGGACCTTTTACCATGAAACATCCGTGTACCTAGATAAAATTTTAGAGGGGACTTTTTCCCAGCCAAAAGAGGGGTTCTTACGAAACGCTCCCCCCACCCCACCCCCGGCTACAGGCCTGAAGGGTAATATGCAGTGATTCGATCTCTGCACTCCCTTGTCATATGCAGCAGACAATAATCAATATGATTTCGCAAAATCTCTGCCTATACAAGTTGTTGATTGCTATCAGTGCCCTCTAATCACAGTAATTCACAGAATAAGTGCAAAGAAGTCAATTCATTCACTACCCCTACATGTACACCTACCCCACTACCCCGTTTGAGAATTGCAAATGAAGGGGTACATTGCAGGTCCCTAGGAAGGGGGTCGCAGGAATCGCCTTTTGGCCTTAAAAGGTCAGCTCTCAATACTATCTCGACACATGTTTCTCAAGATGGGTCATCTAAGGCGATTTAAGGTCCACTTTTTCAAAAACTAAAAATACCCCCCTCCCATTTGAAATTGCTGGCTACAGACCTGATAAAGCAAACGACATGCAGCGCTTTAAGGTGAGAAGCTATTCCCGACTATGGTTAATGTGACACAGTTCATTACCTATGCAGACATTTCGTTATATGACTGAGAAGATATCCCATCGTATTTACGTACCTCGTTTTTCCGCGGGAAAACAAAGACCCAAACAGACATAAGACTTGATCTCAAGTTTTGATCAGACTGAGATCATATGCCCAATAAGTGGGTTATATACAAATGGGGTTTTGTGAATCGTAAAATCATAAGGTGGGCTCTCGAAAAGATAAGATACAGGAAACCAAACACTTGCCTCATCTCCTATGCTACCCATGTGCCCCGCTTGTCTTTAGCATCTTGAGATGTCGACCGTATTCACGGAGTTTCTTTTTTTTAATCAGACGTGCAGCGTCTTCTCCTCTTCTCCCTCTCATCGACCTGACTTGTCGATATTTGTACCAACAGAGTCATATTTACAAGCTACATTAAGTCCAACAGGTGGGCATCAACTGTAAGAAAATTAACGTTCACCTGCTTAAAATTCTCGTCGACATTTGACCACCGGGTTTAAGCTTCAATTTAGGCCAACGGGGCAGGAGACACGACTTTGCGCCTTATATAAGTCAATGTGACACCTAAAACGAGAGGAAATTTCTTGGTACGTATCGTCTACGACCCGCTTGGAAAGTAAACGGTAGAAACGGTATAATGCACTTATTGTTATTTGATCAAAGAGTTGTTCCATTTTGCCGGTTTGACCATTGTGCTTCTGCGGGGGAATTCTGCGCTGAGCGCAAACACTGACCCGTTTATTGTAGCAACCCTCACACCCAGAGCCACCTGTCAGGTTTAAAACTGGCGGTACAGGTTAAAAACAGGCGGACCCATTTCATTTAATGATTTTTTAACATGATCCGACGAGAGAAATTTTTTCGGGAAGTTTACGCTATGTTAATTTGTTGTCAGATTGACGGATCTTTAATGATATCTGTACATATTTAACTCCCCCAATTTTGAGGGCTTTTAAGAGAAAAGGTGTTATTTGGGAAGAGTAAAAAAAATTTTCAGCATTTACCATTGAGCTTGCTGACCCTTTTGTTGCTGTTTTTTACATCAGTGATTTGAGAAGGGGTCATTCTACTTATGTGTCCGATTTACAATTTCTCGGAATGATTGTGTGGCGGGCAGCGAATTTTTGCCATTTTTGTAAAAATCCAGCGACCTGTGGGTGACAAAGTGAAGGTCAATCAATCAATAAATCAATCAATAAATAATTTAACACAATCTTTTTTTAACTAACACCAAGCAATGATGTTCTCTCTATAATTGAACCAAATTTATTCTACATCCACCGATTGGAGTACGTTTGTTTTGGTGCATTTTACATAAAAAAATCCATTTTAACCTAAAAAGCTTCATGCTGCTTAGATGACGCCGAGTGTCACTTTTTCCTCGTGTTTCACACGCCCATTGACCTTCGTGCTTTGATTTAGAGAATGAAAAGGCTAACTGGGCGTACGCTTTCGGCCATGAAGTTCAGGTCCCGGTTTAAAATAACTTACAATGTGAGCCCAAAAGTTGGTCAAAATTCCAAACTGAATTTTTGGTGTGCTATAATTTAGAATGCATGTTTCCACTGTAGTCCACAGTGATATAGTTACAATGAATCTAAAGTATAGGCATTTATGTCATTTTAACAAAACAGGAAATATATTTACAATTAAAATTGGACAACTAACGATTCATTTTACCCTACAGTAAACTTAAAAACTTGCAGACTGAAATCTAAGGACAACTCTTGCGAAACGACCCGTTTTGAAATGACCCATTTTTTTCGTAAGCCTTCGTCTGCACTTATCGACCCGCCTAGGCGTAAAAAAACTTATAACCTACTCTCCGAGAAAAAATAGGCCTACTTGTTGATATGCACTGCATGTCTATAAAAGTCAAAGTGATTGTGGGGAAGGAAATAGATGCAGACTGAAATAAATTCACCTGTCATCTTCAATGGTAATATTTCATGCATGTTCTTACCATGGTCAGGGGCGGATTGAGACCGTCTTCTGGGTCTTCTGGAAGACGGTCAGATTTTAAAGTTTACATTGACGGGTATCTATTTTTTTCTGTTGGAAGACCATCAAAAGTGGAGGATGGATCAACAAAGATAATTTGGAATACTGTCAGAAAATATCTCTAGATGCGCTCCTGATGGTGTATTATACCTCGTTTAACGCGTAGTATCTGTGAGAGCAGTGGCAGATCCTGGATTTTTCTATGGTGGAGGGGGATAGAAATTTTAATATATCAGGCCCGTAGCCGGGGGGGGGGGGGGGGGGGGGCTTCGGGGGGTTCGAAAGAACCCCGCTTTTTGCAAGGAAAAGGTCCCCTCTGGGTGAAATTTAATTAAGGTATATGAAAGTTTCATGGTAAAAGGTCCACTTTTTCAGAAAAAGAACCCTCCTTTTGAAATTTCTGGCTACGGGCCTGTATATTACCTCACTTTGCTCGGCAGACATAAAACTGTAGACGAAGACAATTCTCTTATAATATAAAGGGCACCGGGATGTAGTAATTGCCTTGGTTTGCCGTGAGCAGCTGCAACGAACATCGTCCTGTTGTCATATCTGTTGCGATAGGTGAGAGATGAGTTTGGCTGTTATTGCGACAACGCTATGCACCACACCAAACACACTATTTTACTAATTTTTTAGATTAGCCTGAATGATAAATAAAAATAAAAATAATAATGATGACGATGACGACAGTGTGAACGAGAGTGATAATAATAATGTCGAATGTGGTACTAGTACGTTTTTTTATAAAAGACCATGACGTCGTGATAAAGAACGAAAACAATTTTCAAAGAATATTGGAATAAAAAACTACATTTTAAAACTAAATTTGACATACTTGATCGACGGATAAGCTGCTTCACAAATAAGATAAAGATTTGGCAAGAAGAAAATTTTTCTTCGAGGGTTTTTTGTTTTTCCAAACTTGGAAAATCATTATGATCTTCAAGCTGAAATCAGAAACACGTGAACTGATACGTGGCGCACCTTCTTGGCATATAGCAAAATCGTCGCAAATTCTTCCACCACACAAAGTCTACTAAATTGCGTCGACTGCATCCACCCTAATAAATGTATTGTATTTGACACGGCAGTTAGTAGGCTAGTTTCGCCACTGAAGGTAAAAATCCTCGTCACGACTAGTACAATTCGCTCAATAAGGTTAGTTTAAAAAAAAAGAAAAGAAAAGAAAACGAGGTAAACGACCTGAAGATGCTAAGTGAAACGCAAACAGGTTGGCGCAGGTTTAACACGGTAGAACTGCCTTAATATTTTTTTGAGATTGTTGGGCATAGGTCAATGCGTCTTATCCATTCTCGACATCTAAGCTCTTTTTTACATAGACCTTCATGATGTTATATCATTATCACGTATGCCATAACCTTTTTGACAGTTTGAATATGATTTACCGGTTTACGGGCTGAAATATCATAAAGCTGTCAAAAGAATCAGTGTGAACGCTGATAAGGGGGGTGACGCAAGGTTTTATTCAAACTACATTATTCAGGCCGACCAATATCTCATTACAATTTCATCAGTCAGGCAATGCATCCTTTGTGTTTTGCTCTTTCATCAAATCACATCACACACAGTAACGAATACTAATATTTCTCTCTCTCTCTCTCTCTCTCTCTCTCTCTCTCTCTATATATATATATATATATATATATATATATATATATATATATATTTAATTTTTTGGAGTGATCAGTATTTGGACACGAAGTCAGCGGAGAATTAGATAAAGAAAAGTTGTTATTTCTAGTTACTATCTCTGCTATGGTATAAGCACAACTTGCGTAACAAAACACAAACACCAATCCCTTTCAAAAGATACCTGATTATTTTGTATAAATATCTAAGATGTTGTTTAGGAGTTTATGATTCCAAGGCTGTGGTGACGCCAGAGGACAGCCCTATCCACCAAGACAGCTTTGTTTCGGTATTGTCAAAACCATTCAGACTACTTCAATGTAGGAAAAAGGGGGAGGGGGCTCCGTAAGTTTTGGTGGTAAAAGCTGCTTCTCTCTCCCCCCCTCTCCCCCCCCCCCAAACACGCACACACACACACACAGACATAAACACACCAAAAAGGAAAAAAGAAAGAAGAAAGCAAAGAAACGGGTATAACGAGGGGAAACCAGGCTAAACCGTCTGCCATCTTATATCATTTAAAAATTCATCCTAGTGCACACTCCCTCACCCCCCCCCCCATCCTCACCCCCTCAGCAAATCCCTGCCAGTGCATTACTTAATTATTTACTTATTCACTCAGAAAACTGACTAAACTACAGTGGCATCCGCCAGGCGTTATTCGATCGCCTAGGCCAAAGCGTGGACTACTTCAGCGTTCAAGCTCTTAACAAAATGCCACCACTTTAAAGACCATTAATTGGCCTACTAAACCTTAGACTAAATATATCACCTCAACTCGCAAATATGCAAGCATTTGTTTTATTTGGATAACATTTGCTGGCGAGTGTGCTGCCTGATTCAACAAATAGAGTGTGGCGGCTGTCTTACGTGGAGGTGTGAAATTCCGCTGAGCAAATATTACTGCTGCGCTTGGTGTTTCGCGTCTTGACATTTTGACATCTGGGATGTGATTTTTCACAACTGGGATTTACACAAGACCAACAAGAAATTTCCTTTTTACTATGTATTGTATTGTATTGTATTGTAATGCACTGTCGCATCTTATCTTATTGTATAGAATTTTGTATTAACCTCTATTTCATTGCGTACGTGCGTGAAGCAGGGGGGTGGTTGTGTTGTAAAAAAAAAAAAAAAAAAAAAAAAAAAAAACTCATTGTAGATTTTCAGAATCCAGTTAGGATTCAAATTTATGCATGCACTTCACATTCTTTGATAACCTATATATGTCATGCAGTACAGTTTATATTGGCTATTCATAAATATGAATTTTGAATCTTTATGGGCTTTTGGGGAGCAGAAGATCTGCTACTTGTACGTTAAACGGCTCACGAGTTATACAGACTTCAAAAAATAGACTAAGTATTGTTAAAATTAGTTAAGAATGGCAATTTTTGTTATATAAATGTTCATGTATTAATACTGCTTGTTACATTTTCTAAATATTTATTACAGTTTAATATTATATTTTCCTAGTGTAAATAAAGCCATCTTTGCAGATCCACTATTTC